TCCCCTCTGGCCCCCTCAAAGGCAGCCCTCAGCACAGGGCCTGCTTGGGAAGCCAGCAGAGGTGCGCTCCACACTCGCGACTTCTCAACACCGCCATTATTAGAAACACAAGTTTCGTGGTAGGGCCTCCCGGGGAAGAGCAGGTGAGAAGCATGGCTGAGACAAAGCTTTGGCATGGGACTTACACCTCATTTCTTCGTTCCTAGTGAGGACAGTGGTCTCAACAAAGGAAGTAATGGGTGGGGAGAGGGGTGCCTCCGAGGGCATGCCTCACCCCATTCCCTCCCCCATCCCAGCGGTGAGGCGCAGGCCCAGAAGTCTGCAGCAACAGTTCAGCCAGCAGGGAGACAGCTGGGAGTGGGCTGATAAGGGAATCAGCAGGGTCCAGGCCGGGCTTTGGGGACCAGAGGGGAGGGCAGGGGCCTGGTAGGGTGGGGTGGCCGGGCTCCGAGACCTCTCTGTCACTCTTTCATTCAAGACTGGTTCTAATATCCTCTCTTCCTGGAAGCCCTCCTTCCTGCCATCATCCTCTGGGGTTCTTGAGTCAAGCGCTTGGCATTAGAATATTTCCGGCTCTTAGGGGGTGGAGTAGAGGATGGAGGCCGACTGGCCTTGGTGGGATAACACAGAAATATGAGCCGATGCCTGGCCAAGGATCTCAGAACCAAGCTCTTGGTTGGTTTTGGGTTTTAGTTTTCATGAAAGAAAATTATTTTTGATCCCTAGGGATGGGCATCAGAGATTGATATTCTAAATAAGTATCAGTCACCTTGATAGAGCCCAAATGAGTCACTAAGCCAACCCCCAACAGGAAGAGACCCTGTCCCATATTCATGCCCTCTTGCTATGTGACTCGCTTCTCCATTTGATTCCAATTTAATCAATTTTACCTGAGCAATGGTGCTTGTAATCTCATTGGCTGACCATAGTTTAGTCCCACCTCATGCCCACCTAAGCGAGTTCCCATGTTCTCCACCACCTTAGACCCGCCTCACCACATGGTTTTACTCTATAAAAGGCCCTGGAAGAGACAGCTTCTGGGGGACCACCCACTTGGCGATCTGTTTTTGTTTGTTTGTTTTTGCGGAACCAGGGATTGAACTCAGGCCCTTCTGCTTGCCAGGGAAGCGCTTATTCCACTGAGCCATCTCCCCTGCTCCAATTTATGTGGAAAGTAGTGCGATCTGGTTTTTTTTGGTTTTGGTTTTGGTTTTTTTTTTGCGGGGACCACCCACTTGGGTCCCCTTTCTCTCCCTCTCTTGGACAGGAGCTTTCTTTCCCCCAATAAATATATTGTGCTCATAAAAAAGAAAATTATTTTTGAGACACAATTGTGCATATTTACTGAGCGCTTTGTGATAATACATGAACACAATAATGACCAAACTGAGTGATTAGCATTTCTATGTCCTCAAACATTGGCTATTTCTTTTCTTTTTTTTTGAGCTTACAGCGATCCTCCTGAGTGCTGGGATGACCGGTGTGCACCACCATTCCCACCTTACTATCTCCTTTTATTCGATCAATATTTTAGCTTTGCCAGGTGTGGTGGTACACACCTGTCATCCCAGCACTCAGGAGGCTGAGGCAGGAGGATCAAAAGGAGTAGGAGGGGCTGGGGAGATGCCTCAGTAGAATAAGCACTTGCCTGGCAAACACAAGGGCCTGAGTTCAATCCCCCGTTCCGAAAAAAAAAAAATGAGTAGGAGACCAGCTTGGGCTACAAAGTGAGCTCAAGGCCAACCTGAACTGTGTAGCAAGACTTGTCTCAAAAAGACCAAAAAAAAATTTTTTTTAAAGAGAGAGCAAAAAACACAGGCTGGAAGTGTGGAAGTGGAAGGGAGGGATAGTATGAGATTGGCTAATGAGTCGGTACCAGATACAATGAGAAAGGGGAAGCCGGGGAGATGGCTCAGTGGAATAAGTGCTTCCCTGGCAAGCGCAAGGGTCTGAGTTCAATCCCTGGCTCAAAAAAAAAAATTATCCTATTAGGTAAAATAAAATTATGAAGAAAAAAATTCATACTAAAAAGAAAGGGGAGATAAACTAGTGCTCTAAGCACAGTAGGGTGACTAGTTGATAACAGCTGCTTTTATATAACATATATGTGTGATTATTTAATGACACAGGAAAATAACATGTTATAAAACCAGTTGGTGCTTGGCATGGTGGTACATACTTGTCACTACAGTACTACTCAGGGAGGCCGAGGCAGAGGCTCAGCAGTTCCAGCCCAGCTTGGCAACTTAGCAACTTTAGTGAGATCTTGTCTCAAATAAAAAATAAAAAAGGGCCGGGGCTGTAGCTGAGTGTTGAGGTCCTGGGTTCTATCTGTAGGATCCAAAAAAAAAGCTGGTTATAAGTAGTAGGTAGAGGGGAGGGGCCAGGGAGATGGCTTGGTGCAATAAGCGCTTCCCTGGCAAGCGCAAGGGTCTGAGTTCAATCCCCAGTTCTGCCAAAAAAAAAAGTAGTAGGTAGAGTATGACTAGTTTTTTAAACACTAGGGCTGGCCAGAAAGCTCAGCTGACTAAAGTGCCTGAGATTGGGCGTGGTGGCGCATTCCTGTAATCCCAGCATTTAGGAGGCTGAAAATAGGATCACTATGAGTCTGATCTGTGTAGTGAGACCCTGTAAACACTGTACTAAATACATTAAAAAAAAAAACTTTACTGAGGATTGAACACAGTGCCTTTATACCAGGGGAGGTTTATTTACTTTTTTAGGGGAGGTTTATTTTTTTGTTTTTGGTGCTGAGGACTGAACCCAGGGCTTCCAGCTTGCTAGGTAAGCGTTCTACTGCTGATCCAAATCCCCAGCCCCAGTGCCTTTATAATGACCTACAACCCCAACACTTTTGTTTTATTTTTTTGAGAGAGAGTCTTGCTATATATCTCAGGCTGGTCTTGAATTTACAGCAACCCTCCTGTCTCAGCCTCTCCTCAGTGCTACGATTACAGGCATGCACCACCATGCCAAGCTCATCTCTAACACTTTTTAAAAAACATTTATTTATTTATTGTGTGTGTGTGTGTCCAGCTCAGCCCATCAGGGGGCGGGGCTGGCTGGCATGTGGTGCTGGGGGATTGAACCGCAGTCCCTGTGCTTTGCCAAGCTTGTTCCAAGTAGGTGCTTCAGACCGCTGAGCCATCTCTCCAGCCCTCTAACACTTTTTAAAAAAAATTTATTTTGAGGCAGGGCCTTGTTAAATCACTAAATTTATGATCCTCCTGCTTCAGGCTCCCAGACTGTTAGCATTACACGTGTGTACCAGCATGCCCAGCAATATTTCACATTTTCTTATTTTTTTTAAATTTTATTTATTTATTTATGTGTGTGTGTGTGTGTGTGTGTGTGTGTGTCTGTGTGTGTATGTCTGTGTCTGTGTGTGTGTGACCAGCTCAGCCCACCAGGGGGCGGGGCTGGCTGGCATGTGGTGCTGGGGGATTGAACCGTTGTCCCTGTGCTTTGCTAAGCTTGTTCTAAGTAGGTTCTTTAGACCACTGAGCCATCTCTCCAGCCCCCACATTTTCTTATTTTTTGAAAATTACAGTGTGTATCGGGCTGGGGATGTAGCTCAGTGGCACAGCACCTAACTGGCAAGCACAAAGTCATGAGTTTGATTTCTGATTCGAAAAAGAAAAGTAAAATGTATAAACATGCATGCAAAATAAAATGTAGGAGCCAGGAGTATAGCTCAGTTGTGCAGCATGTGTTTAGCACGCTCAAGGCCCTGGGCTCCATTCCTAGTACTGTGGACCACTCAGGGCCGCGCGTGCTGGTTCATCTATTCACTGGTGACCAGATCAAAGGAGGCCATTTATTTGGGTAAAATTATTCTATTAGGGTAAAATTAGTTCTGAAGAGATGGAGGGGCCCAATTGCTCATATCACCATGTACAGGTGTGTTGGGGTCCTTTCAAGTAAGGAAGTGTGGAAGAGAACACAAAGGAACAATAGACAGCTTCCAGCTGGTTCCCTCCTCTCCTGGATCGGGTCTGGAGGTGTCATTTGTCTCTAAAGGAGAAAGTCTAGCTTTGAAAGTTCTATTTGCAGAGCTAGTTATATTAGCATCACACACACACACACACACACACACACACACACACGTGTGCACACTCACATACACCCTGGAAAGTTATATGATAAATTATCAACATATGACTTATGTTCAGTGATTAGCCTTTTTGGCAACGTGAATTCAATATATAGTTCATAGTGTTCTCCAACTCAGAGCAATCCTTCTGACTCAGCCTCCTGAGTGTTGGGGTTATAGATGTGCACCTATAACTATGCCTGGCTGTTTTATATATGTATGTATTATGTATGTACGTATGTATGTATCTTTTTGAGATAGGGTCTCACTATGCAGTTCACACTGGCCTTGAACTCACAATGATTCTCTCCTGAGCCTGCTCAGTGCTGCGATTACAGGTGTGTGCCACCATACCCAGCCCCTTTAGTTCCTTATATTTTAGAAATAATTGTGTTTCAAAAATACATAAGACAAGCTTGGCATGGTGACATATTCCTGTAATCCCAGCACTTGAAAGACTGAGGCAGGGCTGGGGACATAGGTCAGTAGATTAAGCACTTACCTGGCAAGCGCAAGGGCCTGAGTTCAATCCCTGGTACTGCAAAAAAAAGAAAGAAAGAAAAGAAAAGAAAAAGAAAAAGAAAGACTAAGGCAGGAGGATCATTGCAAGTTAAAGAACAGCCTGGGCTACAAAGTGAGTTCAAGGCCAGCCTGAACTGCATAGTGAGACCTTGTCTCAGAAAGACAAAAAGAAAAGAAAATAATATCTCATGATTTGGCTTTAAGAATACTGATAGTTGTGTAATCCCAGTGCTCAGGAGGCTGAGGCAGGAGGATTGCCAGAGTTAGAGGTGAGTCCAGGCCAGTTTGAACTATATAGCAAGACTCTGTCTCAAAAAACTAAATATTGGGCCTGGGAGATAGCTCAGTAGAGTAAGTCCTTGCCTGGCAAGCACAACAGCCTGAGTTCATATCCCTGGTTCTGCAAAAAGGAAAAAAAAAAACAAAAAAAAAACTAAATATTGGGGCCAGGGCCAGGGAGATAGTTCAGTAGAATAAGTACATGCCTGGCAAGCACAAAGGCCTGAGTTCAATCCCCAGTTCCACCAAAAAAAACCCAAAACTAAATATTGATAGGTGGCCTGGACTCATAAGTGTGCTGCAGTGTTCGAAAGGCTTGTCACACTCCATGCAACCTCTCAGTCACCCACAACGAGGAATTTCACTCTTGTCTTTTTCAGAACAGGCCTCCCTGTGTTGTCCAAACTGCCCTGCAAGTCCTGGGTCGGGCAGTCCCCGAAGTACCTGTCACAAGGCTACAGGGACTGGCCAGGGCCAGACTCCATTTTCATCTCCTTTTCCAAGATCTTTACTAAATTACCAGATAGAGAACAACAGAACATCTCACACCCCAAGGCTCAAGCCTGCCCCCACCCCCACCCCCAGTGGTAGATGCTCGGGACATTCTGCTTAACTAGCACTGAACTGGCTAACCTATATTTCTTGCTCTATAACAAAGAAGCAACTTAGGTTCATTGTTTTTTTTTTTTCATCTTCAAGGAGTTGTTTTCTAATTTTATTTATTTTTCATTAGTGCATATTTGTAGCAGTGTGGAGCTGGTACATGTACATAACTCATCTTAATTTTTTTCAATATTTATATAGTTCAAATTTTAATCATCTGATAAATGCCATAATTTGATTTTCATAGTTACTTTTTTTCACATAATTTTATTGAGAAACAAATAGCAATGAGACAGTTTCAATAATTAACACATTGCATACATTCTTCCTAGTGGTTAATTGCTGTACAAGATGCGGACATGATATCATATTTACAAACATTATTAGAACAAATCCCTCTATTCATTAAGTGTGCCTAAGGAGAGTCACATGGAGAGAAAACATTTTCTCGGGCTTTCACAGGGAGCACATTGGCCAAGCAATGGCTGTGACTCATCCACATGGCTGACACTGACAAAGGTTCTACAATCTGAGGTACAGGATCTCAGGATAAATCCTGAGGGCATTTCACTGACCTTATCAGACCCAAAAGCTACAACTCTTGTTGCATCGGTCTTGCTTTATCTTGGTCTTAACCATCCAGCAGAAAAGTATAAAAACGAAGTAGAAGTAAAGCCATGCTGTGCAAGGGACTGAGTTCAATCCCCCGTTCTGCCAAAAAAAAAAAAAAAAGAAGTAAAGCCATGCTGTTATGTTGAGCTGTGGAGGACTCAGGTCAACAATTTCTGACATTGCTAGTGAAGTGGAAGACCTAATACTATTATGGACTACTGGACTCTTTTAGAATATTTTGCTGAGTTAACACACCTATAATATCCAAATAACGGAACTAAACAAAAAAAAGGGGATACAGATGAATGTCCGTTTTGTATCTGTGCATTCAAAATGGTTAGGATAAATATATAGTTACATTCTCTTAATGAATAGAGGGATTTGTTGTAATAGTGTTTGTAAATAGGATATCATGTCCGCATCCTGTACAGCAATTAACCACTGGGAAGAATGTATGCAATGTGTTAATTATTGAAACTGTCCTATCAATTTGGTTTAAAACTGTCTCATCACTCTTTGTTTCTCAATAAAATTATGGGGGAAAAAGTTGTTTTAAAATCAGGAACATAGGGCTGGTGAGATGGCTCAGTGGTCTAAAGCACCTACTTAGAACAAGCTTAACAAAGCACAGGGACCGCAGTTCAATCCCCCAGCACCACATGCCAGCCAGCCTCGCCCCCTGGTGGGCTGAGCTGGCCACACACACACACACACACACACACACACACACACACATAACTAAATAAAAAAAATCTAAAATCAGGAATATATAACAGTAATGACTACCTGTAGGTACTTTTTAGGTGTTTCCCAAAGTTAATTATCCTTTCAATAGGAATTTTAAACCACCCTTAAGGCCCAAGAAACAGTTGAACCCACAATAGAAACTGAGGCTCTTTTCTGTATTATCACTAGTGTGTTTTATTCATCCACTCATTCACTGGCTTTTTGGAGAAAGGGTCTCCTTGTAGCTCAGGTTGGCCTTGAACTTGTGGTGATGCTCCTGCCTCAGGCTCTCAAGTGTTAGTGTTCCAATGTGCTCCATCAACCCAGCAGAAGTGGCATTTTTACAGTAAGGTAATTCATGCCACAAGAATAGTCACATACTAGAAGGACGTTCTAGTATGGGCTGGGGAGATGGCTCAGTGGAATAAGTGCTTCCCTGGCAAGCACAAGGGTCTGAGTTCAATCCCCGGTTCCGTAAAAAAAAAAAAAAAAAAAAAAAGGACATTCAGAACTGCAGGTGCGGCTCAATGGTAGAGTACTTGCCTACCATACTCCGCATTTGACTCTGAATTCCATCCCTAGAAACACACACACAAAATAAACTGAAAAAAGTGGCAAGTTGCAAATTGAAAAAGTTGGGGCTGGGGAGATGGTTCAGTAGAATAAGCGCGTGCCTGGCAAATTGAAAAAGTTGACAATATTCTAAATGACAGAGTTTCACGTACAAGAGTAAATGTAACCGGATGTGGTGGTGCACACCTGTACTTCCAACACTTGGGAGGCTGAGGCAAGAGGATCACCACAAATTCAAGACCATCCTATGCTACATAGTGAGTTCAAGGCCAGCCTAAACTACATAGTGAGATTGTCTTAAAAAACAACAACAACAACAAAAAAAACAACCCCAGTAAATCTGTTAATGGCCTATGGGGGAAAAAAGCAGCTCACTAAAAACAAGTTTATGAGTTTTTTTTGTCCTTTTAACGTGTTTAGTACAGGGTCTACAGGGTCTCACTACACAGGGGACTCATAGTGATCCTGTTTTCAGCCTCCCAAGCGCTGGGACTACAGGCACACACCACCATGCCCAGTCTCATTTGCTGTCTCATTGTGCCCTGGGGGAGCGGCTAGGGCCGCCACAGCAGGCCAGGGATCGAGGCTCTCTGCATCTGCCTAAGCAGGCGCTTTAATTTGCTGAGCTCTCTGCCCAGCCCTACAAAATGCTTCTTCTAGTTCTACTGAGGTTATGTGTTTGTCCTTTAGTTTATTGATATGGTATAATACATTGACTGATTCTGGTTTTGTTTTCTTTTTTTTTTTTAGTGGGGGGAACCGGGGATTGAACTCAGGCCCTTGTGCTTGCCAGGGAAGTGCTTATTCCACTGAGCCATCTCCCCGGCCCAGGTTTTGTTTTCTGAGAGACGGTTTTGCTATATAATACAGGCTGGTCTTCAATTCACTGTGTAGCCCAGGCTGGCCTTGAATTTATGGCAATCCTCTTGCCTCAGCCTGCTGAGATTATAGACATGTGCCACTACTCCTGGATTAGCACACTGACAGATTTTCATGCGTTGAGTCAACCTTGCATTTCTGGAATAAAGCGCACTTAATCACAGTGCATAACATTTTTGTGTATTGTTGCACTCTACTTACTTGCATTTGGTTGAGGTTACTCATTCATTAATATTATTTTTTTATTAAGACACGATCTCACTATATATATGAGATCCAGGCTGGTGTGGAACTCAGTATGTAACCAAGGGTAGCCCTAAACTTGGGATCTTCCTGCCTCAGCCTCCCAAATTATGGGGTTAAAGGCCTGTGCCACCACGCCCTGCTACTTGTTGAGGATTTTTACATTTATATACACACAATATATTTATTGGACTATAGTTTTGCTGTATCTCTTTCTGCGTTTGTTATCAGAATAATGCTGGCCTCTTAAACTCATTTTTATCGCTGAGCAATATTCCATGGAGCATACCCACTATAGTTTTTTTTTAACATTTGCTATAATTTTTTTTTTTGGCGGAACCAGGGATTGAACTCTGACTCTTGCACTTTCCAGGGAAGCACTTATTCTACTGAGCCATCTCCCCAGCCCCATGTGTTTTAATTTGGATGTGGACCCAAAGTCCTGTGTGTTGAAGTCTGGTGCTGTTGGGAGGAAGGAAACTTTAGGAGGTAGGGCCCAGGGGCCCAAAGTATGATCATGGGTTGGTTCCCCCAAAGGTATGCTGGGACCCCTACTCTTCCTTCCTGCTGCTTTCCGCTTCTCTCCTTCCCTATTTTCTTGCCACAGAGCCAAGCAACCATGGACTGAATCCATGAGTGAACATGAATCCTTCCTCCTTAGAGGCTGCTTTATCTCAGACATATTTCAGTGACAGACAGGACACACCATTCATTTGCTGATAGGCATGTGCTGTTATTTGCAGTTTTCCCTCCTTACAGTAAATCTGTGAACTTACAAACCACTTCCTCACATGCATGAAGGGGTTTCCAGGGGGTAAGAGATTCTAGTCTACCCACATATCTAATTCTCCACCCATTCATCCATCTGACCATCTGCTCCTCCCTCCCTCCTTCCTCCCTCGCTTCTTCCCACAAATTATCCAGTTCCCTCCAGGCAAGTAACCTGTGGGTCCAAGGCGAGGTGCTTTTTTAAAATTAGGCAAGCGCCAGGCATAGTGGCATACACCTATAATACTAGCCTTCCAGAGGCTGAGGCAGGAGCATCACCATGAATTTGAAGCCAGCCTGGGCGATAGGGGCTATGACTTTCTGGGGCTTGAAAGTGTACACATCAGAGCTGAAGCACTGACCCTAAAACATTATATCCTATGTCTATTACACAGATTACTCTTTCTGCATATCCTTGTCTCTGCATATTGCACAGGTGACTGCAGGCATCCTTCCTAGTCCTGTCCTAGGTACTCTCACATCTCCCACTTCCTGTCACTGTCATAGTCACCCATCCTCAGACCACTCCCTTCCTCATATACATGAATAAAATCCAGGTTCGATCCTGAGTAAAGGCCTTTGTTCTGAACAGCCATTACTGTGACCAGACTCTGGACCATCCTGACTCATCATTTTGTATAAATTATTGTGTCTTTAAGCTGTGGGTTACAATGGTAGTGATAGATTGGAATTAACTCATTACAATTCCAATAACTTTTCCATGGGATTACAAGTGTAATCTTCCTGGGCTGTGATGAGGACTGGGAAGTGCACTCTATTCTTTTTTTTTTTTAAATATTTATTTATTACATTTATTTATTGTGTGTGTGTGTGGCCAGCTCAGCCCACCAGGGGGCGGGTCTGGCTGGCATGTGGTGCTGGGGATCGAACCGCGGTCCCTGTGCTTTGCCAAGCTTGTTTCAAGTAGGTGCTTTAGACCACTGAGCCATCTCTCCAGCCCCATGCACTCTATTCTTAAGACCAGACTGAACTGCATAGTGAGACCCTGTCTCAAAAAGAAAAAAAAAAATAACATCCCAGCCAGGTGTGGTGGTGCATGCTTATAGGTCCAGCTCTCAGGATGTTGAGGTAGGAGAATCACTGTGAGTTTGAGGCCAGCCTAAACTAAACTTGTCTCAAAAAAAAAAAGGTAGTATCCTGGCCACAGACACTTGTTTGCTTATTCGTGGTAGGGAGGATTAAACCCAGGGCCCTTACACTACCCTTTTTCTATTTTTTGTGACAAGTCTCCCTAAATTGCCCAGGCAGACCAGACTTGTAGTGATTATTCTGTTTACAGCCTCCCAAGAGCTGGGATTATAGGCGCACAGCACCATGCCCAGTCTCAATTGCCCTCTCAGGGCACCCCAGGGGCAGGACTGGTACTGCAGGCCCAGGGATCAAACCCCTGGCCCCTGTGCCTGCTTGCAGGCACTTTAATCTGCTGAGCTATTTGGCTGGCCCTCCTTTCTTTCTTTTGTGACAGGGCCTTATTATGTAACCCAGGCTGGTCTCGAACTCATGGCCTCATCATCCTGCCTGCACCGCCATGCCCAGCTCTGGGCTTTTAAAGACAACTTAGACCCTGGACAAAACCCAAGAAAGCAACTGAGACGGGAAGAACAGTGAGTGCACTGGGGAAGATACTCCATTTATTGTGTGGCTTGGACGCTGCCCTCTAGAGGACAGGTTTGTTCTCAAACCTGCATGAGGGAAACAGGGTGGTGGCAATCATGAGATGTAGTTGGACACCTCAATCAGGTTTCTGTCTGGGTCTCGGAAGTAGATAGACATAATCGGCCCTTTTGCCCCTGTCCTGGGGACTGGGCCCTCCTCAATGGGGACATCAAAAGCCTGAGATAGGAGAAGAAAACAAGTCATTTGTCATAGCCCATACAGGAGACTAAAATTTAATTCCTAACAGTGGTGTAGAATCCCCCAAACCACCCTTTATCTGACCTCATCTCCTACCATTTTTTCTTCAAGAATAGGCAACCCTATACCTCAGCCTTGTGCTCTGTAAAGTGGGCATGAGAACAGTATCTAGTACTATCCAGTAGGTGACAGGACCGGAACTGAAACCTGGTCCAAAGCCTATGCTACTTGTGTGTGCACATGTGTGTGATGCTAGGGATGGAACCCAGGGCTTCCTGAGGGCTAGGCAGCTGCTCTACCACTGAGCCACACCCCCAGCCCTATACCTATTGGTTTTGGGGTTTTTATTTTTGAGCCTATGTTGGGAACCCCCGAAGGTAGGAAATTGATTAAATGTGTGTAGGTGGGACTAGGCCTCAGTGCCTAGAGCAAACAATCTACCTCAGTCCTGAGATAAACATCTTGTCTGGTTAGGGTCAGCTATTAGTTGCTAGGCAAGCTTGTGTGTCACATGTTACTAACTTTGCAAAAGTATAAAGGATCATTTTGTTATATGTGGCATTAGTCTGGCCCATTAGGCAGACCAGCGACCATCTAGCCCAGCTTTTGTCTTCTTGTCCATCTTTCTCATTCCTGCTACCGTCTCTCCCAGAGTAGAACTGATCGCAGTGAGGCCAACAGATCCCTACAAGCCAGGATCTTGCTCTGCAGTTCAGGCTGGGCTTGCACTCGCTAGACAGCCCAGGATGCCTTCAAGCACAGCAACCTTCCTGCCTCAGCCTCCTAAGAGGATTACAGATGTGTGCCAGCACACCTGGCCCACGACTCGATAACTGCGTACAATGTATGACTGTGAGGAAACCATCTGCCCAAGTGGAGGTAGCCCTCCTGACGCCATGCTGTTTTTCATGACATCTGTAGCAGCTTTCTCAAAACACACAAGGTCCAGCGCTAGGGCTGGAGTTCAGCAGCACAGCAAGTATGAAGCCTTGGCTCCATCCTTGTCACCAACAAAATACCCCATAGAACAGAAAACCAAAGAAAACAGCTGCCCTGCATACCTTGAGGCGCTGGATCATCTCCTCCAGAGGTACCTCTGTAATCAGGCAGATGTCCAGGGAGCCAGGCAACGGGTGAATGGCTTTGGGTTCAAATTCCTTTCCCATCTCATGGAGGTTAAATTTCTGGTCACCAAAACACAGTGCTTTCCGATTTCCCTGTTTAGGAGCGAGAAGACAAGTAGAGCCAAAGCCAAAGCTCTGAGGTGAGTGAGTTAATCCACCCCACAGCATCTTGGTAAAGAACAGTTACTTAAAACAGCAGCCCGTGGCCCACCCAGCTCATTTGCCAGAGCAACTCCCAGTGTGCTTGCACACGTTTTATGTTTATTCTGTCTCAAAATTATTTCCATGTCTCTAAATATGTTTATGGCATCAAGAGCAGAAGTAGCAATTTGTCTACACAATAAACATTTCCCTCCATTTTCTTTAATTTCCTTTTTTTTTTTGTGGAAACGGGGATTGAACTCAGGTCCTTGTGCTTGCCAGACAAACACTTATTCTACTGAGCCATCTCCTTGGCCCTTTAATTTCCTTTTTGAGACAGACTCTCACTATATTATCCAAGTTGGCCTTGTACTCCTGGGCTGAAGAGATCCTCCTGTCTCAGCCTCTCCCTTCTCTGGCAAACACACTCAATTTTGATGGAAATCAACTATGTGCCCAGCTTCATTTTAAAAAAAAAAAAAAAAGAGGGCTGGCCAAATAGCTCAGCGGATTAAAGCACTTACAAGCAGGTGCAGGGATTGGGGGTTTGATTCCAGGGCCTGCCGTGCTGGCCCCGCCCCCAGGACATGCCGAGACCAAAATGGAGCCTGGGTATGGTGGTGTGCGCCTGTAATCCCGGCTCTTGGGAAGCTGTAAACAGGCGGATCACTATGAGTCCGATCTAGTAGTGAGACCCTGAACACCCTGTTAAACCCTTCCCTAGAAAATGTAAAAAATTAAAATTAATACAGCAATTAACCACTAAGAAGAATATATGCAGTGTATTATTTGTTGAAAAAAAAACATGTATCGTTGTTCAAACCATGTTACTTTAAGACTCAGACACATCAGATGGTTTACAAAAATCCTGCATTCAAATACAATTTGTAAATGTTAACTATAAATTCTCTTTTATAGGAAAAAAAATTAAAATTAAATTAAAAAAAAAGAATCCTATATTTTGTAGCATTTCTTGCTGGGAGGCCATCAAGTGAAGGAGGCCCCTTTAATTACTCTCTGTCCCCTCAACAGTGGGTGCTCTGTGCCCATTCATTTCGTCCTTCTCATCTCCTGCCCAAGCACTAACTGCCTACTCAACAACAGCAAAGAAAGCTCTTTTTAAAGCCTCTGCTGAGATCCGTCGTGGACGTCGCATTCCGTAGGAATCGTGGAAGCCGGGCCCGGTGCACTCAGTGTGTAGCCATGTCAGCCTCTGCGGTGTCTGTTACTTCGCGACTCTTAGAAGAGTACTTGAGCACCACTCCGCAGCGGCCGAAGTTTCTGGACGCGTACCTCCTGTATATACTGCTGACCGGAGCGCTGCAGTTCGGTTACTGTCTCCTTGTGGGGACCTTCCCTTTCGACTCTTTCCTCTCGGGCTTCATGTCTTGTGTGGGAAGCTTCATCCTAGCAATGTGCCTGAGAATACAGATCAACCCACAGAGCAAAGAGGATTTCCAAGGCATATCCCCAGAGAGTCTTCGCTGATTTTCTCTTTGCCAGCACTATCCTGCACCTTGTCGTCATGAACTTCATTGGCTGAATTGTTCCCATGCTTCATTGAGAAGACTGGAAAAACGTTCACTTTTTTAAAAAAAATTATTTTATTTATTTGTGTGTGTGTGTGTGTGTGTGTGTGTGTGTGGCCAGCTCAGCCCACCAGGGGGTGGGGCTGACTGGCATGTGGTGCTGGGGGATTGAACCGTGGTCCCTGTGCTTTGCCAAGCTTGTTCCAAGTAGGTGCTTTAGACCACTGAGCCATCTCACCAGCCCATAAACGTTCACTTTTTTAAAAAAAATTATTTTATTTATTTGTGTGTGTGTGTGTGTGTGTGTGTGTGTGTGTGTGGCCAGCTCAGCCCACCAGGGGGTGGGGCTGACTGGCATGTGGTGCTGGGGGATTGAACCGTGGTCCCCGTGCTTTGCCAAGCTTGTTCTAAGTAGGTGCTTTAGACCACTGAGCCATCTCACCAGCCCCAAGGATATGATTTCTTGAGATGGCAGCTTGTTGGACACATGGATGTTCAGATTTGTACTTACTGTCAACCTCGGTTGGTGTGTAGGTGGAAAGCCCAGAGAAGTTCTCCTTGTGTCAGACCAGCTTTGTGATGAATGTTTGTTAGCATGACCTTCGCCTTTCATTAAATGTTACCTTTTACCCTCCAAATTAAAAATTAATGCCACTCAAAAAATTTTTTTAAAAATTAAAATAAAGCCTCTGCTGAGTTTTCTATGTACTCCGTAATGCAATCCCAAACAGGGATGCCACTATTTTTTTCCTTTCTATTCCCCTTCAATATTGGACACTGAAGGGGCCAAGGAGATGGCTCAGTGGAATAAGCGCTTCCCTGGCAAGCACAAGGACCTGAGTTCAATCCCCAGTTCCACAAAAAAAAATAATAATAATTAAAAAAAATACCCCTCCTTTA